TATCTTCCGGAACATTTAAAAAATGTAAGTGACTGTGTGGAGTCTTTGGTGTCCCAAAGTGTTTTGTCTGTTCAGTGCAGTAGGAAGAACGCCATGATTAGAAAAGAAGCCGGTTACAGGACAGATGGCCACGTGATTGGGCTTTGCTACCTGCATTTTTCTCTCTTCAAACTCATTACATTTTTTCCCTAACCTATTCAATTTGGCATCCCTTCTATGGTGTTTGCTATCCAGTGGTTGAGTTTAGTATTTATTATGCTGCAAAGGTGTAGCCCTGAGCAATTACCTAGGAGTGTGGTTTCTAACTCTCTTTAGAAAAATGACCCATGTATTTTACTTGGGTACTCCAATAAAAGCATGCTGGCAATTAACACATATGTAAACCCAGAAGCAAAAATGTAATATATTGCAGCTTACTAATCCTTAGACGTTGTGGCTGCATTCGTTTTCTTTATTCTCACCCAGCGATTTGAACAGTAAGTCTCATTTATTGGACCAAGCTGTCCAGTAAAAGGTGCAATTGGAAGTTTGAAACAAACTATTTACCACTGATAGGTACTTACAGCTTCATTCATGTAAAACCTTTATCCCAAAAGGAAAGTCCCAGAAATACTAATCATTCCAGTGATGCAATGGTTAAATCCCCCACCAACCATTATCTCTCAGGTTACCCCTGTTGGGTTTTTGGCCTCTTAACTGACTAGTCCAGAAAAGATGTCAACCCATGCCAGCCAGAGTGTGTCCAGAATGCACGCTAACCTGCACATGCACAGCTCAGAGTGCATTCAGTAGAAGACTTCGAGCAGACAGGTAAATGTTTGTTATTGCGGAAGAGTATATCTCTTCCTCAATAAAGAACAGCCTGCTTGTACTTTTTTCTTAGTTAAGTTTTGTTCTCCCCAGACTGACAATGCTGCTGTCCAAGGGTGACTCCATTGCTTTTCCATCCAAAGTGGAGCCACCATAGAACAGAAAATGTTTTACTGGCCAGATCACCAGGTGAAACCAAAGGTAAAAAAGCCTAAAAAATGTAACTCATGCAGCCATCACATTTTAAGCAGTATTAAACCCAAAAACAAAAAATGTATTAAATAGCAGTTTATCAATTATTAGATGTGTGTATGCAGTATATTGCTTTTTTTAAGGCTTTTTTTTCCTTTATTATAGTAAAGCAGACACATTTGGACACTGTGGGGTTGATTTACTAAAACTGCATGGTGCAAAATTTGATGCAGTTCTGCATAGAAACCAATCAGCTTCCAGGTTGTATTGTCAAATCTTAACTGAACAAGCTGATTGGCTACTATGCACAGCTGCACCAGATTTTGCATTCTCCAGTTTAAGTAAATCTACTCCATAGTATTCATCAGTAACTGCTAAATCTCCCCTCTAGAGGTTAAGAGGGGATTTCTCATAGTTTGAAGAGATTTCCCCTCACTATAATTTACAGGAAAGGAAGTGAAATTTCCCAAATGGGATCCAGATGGCAAAAAAGTAAATTATTCTCTGTTCTGTCCAAAAAAAAAAACACTTTCACATTAGATATACTTGTATCCAGGGGCGGACTGACAACTCATGGGGCCCCTGGGCACTAGGGGATCATGGGGCCCCTGTGTTCTTGCCCAAACTCAAAAAAGCCTATGAAAAAGGTACCAGGGGCATCTCATGGGGCCCCCTACTGACCCCGGGCCCTCAGGCAGTGCCCTAGTTTCCAAATGGTCAGTCTGCCTCTGCTTGTATCTAGCCAAAACAGCCGTAAGTGTGTGTGCCCATGTTTATGACTTTAGGGAGATTGGATTGTAAGTTCCTTAAAGGGGCTGAGTCTGATGTGAGTAGTTTAGTGTTTTCTATAAAGTGCTGCAGACAATTCTCAGTGCCATAACAATTATAATGACATAACAGAGCAACCAGTCTTTCTGCATTAAAAAGATTGATGCTAAACTCAATGATAAAAGGATACATACTTATTCATCTAGCATCCCTTGATCTTCAAATTTCTCCCCCAGGTATTTGACAAGACCTCTTGGCTTTTTGGAAGGTGGGTAAGCTCACTGGCAAAAACTTTTGTAGTTCCAATCTCTATCCCTGCTTACTGCTTACTCTCTTATCCCCCAATTCTACTACCCCTTTATTTCTTGATTAATCTACCTTCAAGTATACCATCTGACTTCCCCTTAGGCCTTCCACGTCTGTTCTTTTACAACTACAGTTTTCAACTTATTCTCTATACTGTATGTTACTATGACTGTATCTTAAAAGAGAAGTTGGGTTTAAAAAAATCAAACAAACAATCATACTCACTTAGGTGGATGCAGCGTTGATCCATGCTGCATCTGTCATCCACCGACTCGAAGATCGAGAACTGAGCGATCAAACACCGTATATTGCTCAGTTCTCTGTCTGTCAGTCTCCAGCTTTCTTCTCTGCCTCTCCAGCACTCAGTGTGGAGTGCCGAGTGTGGAGGGAGCTGGAGAAGCTTGCTGAGAGGCTGAGCCAGCTACCGGTCCAAGCATCTGGGTGGATCCCGACTGTAAAGAGTGATGTCAGCGGACTGTAGTCCGCTGTCGGCTGAAAACAGGTCACAGGAGTGTAGAACAAAGTGCACGCCTGTGACCTGTAGAAGAAGTATAGACAAAAGAGCTTTGGTCATTCTTGTCATTAAATACCAGCTAACTGAAATGATATCTACCATAGCTGCAATGTTAATATGCAATAAGCTTTTTTATCCCATATCTTCACTGTAATTTTTCTACTGAAAACTGCTTTATTTAACGCTCTTTTATGAAAAATCACTAAATAGATTGAACAAGAAAGTATACAGCAACCCGCTGTCTACCTTCCAGGGTTTGCCATTCTTTAAAGTGTTACCAAACCCAGGACCCTGCATTCGCTATATCCCGTCTCCCACAGTACACAGAACATAGAAATGCAATTATTTTAGTAAATATAAACTGCTAAATACCTTTTCTCATCAGCAGTTAGAGTAGTCTTGTGACTTCTCTCAGTATCCAGCAGAGCACTGGTTAGAGCTTGTAGGAGGAGTTTTCTTTTTGTTCTATGAGGATGCAGAACCCCTGAACTCTGTCGGGGCAGTGCTGATTGGCCCTGTGCTGATCACATGCACTCTTCCAAAAAAAAAAAGAAACTCTCTAGCAATACACGCCAAACAGCATGTGCATTTGACTAGGGGTTCAGTCTGTCTTATCAGGTGGACATTTGAACAAGAAGAGGGGCAGAGAAGACAGGATCAAACAGCCTTTTTACACAATGCAGAGGATTAACCCCTTAGGTTCCACAGTGAGTATAACAAGCATGCTTTACTACATATACACACTGATTTTACTGTTGTGGGTTTAGTAACACTTTAAGGACAAAATAATATACCTGATTGCTGGAATTCCCTGAAGTTAAAAAAATAATAGTGTCTTTCCTGTTCACATATGACAAAATTGTTGTAAAGATCATGTGACCATTGAACAAGAATTGATGGGGCACCAAACTTGGCATGGAACCCACTTAGGTTTTCTCTTTTACTATTTTGGAAAATAAAGCAAAATTTCTGATGTCATGATGGGCAACATATCTGCTTTTGTTTCTATTTCTCGCTCTCTCCTAATTTTTATACCTGTATAGCTTTTGCTGTGCTCACACTACAAGTTGATAGATTGTCTGTCAGTAATTCATTTATAGGCAGGAACTAAAATTGTTGGATAGGAACAATGATTTCAGGAAAAAGTTCAGCAGGACAATGGACACAATGAATGGGTTTGGAAGTTCAGAGGGGGATGGTGACGGTTGGACTGTGAAAGGGCACACTTAGCTCAGACATGGGCCTTTCATGAAAATAAACTAAACTCTATGTGCAAATCAGATGTTTGTGCAAATCAGATGTTTGTGGATGCAAAGAGAGAAGCAAATAAAAGAAGCCTTGTTGTCAGCACTCTTTATATATACAGTGTTAGTAATACAAGGGTATAAACCACTTAATCAAACTGTGTGTTTCTTAATTACACATATTACTACTACATACACCACAAATGTACATTCAGATCACGAAATAAATACATTTGTCCCTTATTATGCAACGCTATTAGTCCTCATGCACACTGGACGTTTTTACAGCGGCTGTTTTTGGCTTTTGATGTTTTTTTTTTCTACAGCCAGTAAACCCCCCAGTATGTTATCCTATGTGTCCATACACACATATACTGTAATCAACGTTTTTGGGCAGGGACGTTTTTTGGCTGGTACAAAACCCCAGGACTAGTGGGTTTCTAGAGGAGCTTTTTAGCTGTAAAAACATTCTAATGCTGAAAAACGCGGTAAATCGAGGCAAACCAATGTTTTTGGATGTTTTTTTTACTAAAAAAAACCTCTAAAAAACGCAAACACCCCGCTAAACGCTAATACAAAAACGCTGAAAAACTCATGTTTTTAACGTAACTTTACACAGCTAACGTTACAAGCGTTATTAACCTCGTAGCGGTCTGATTCTGTCCGAATTTCTGTGCTAAAAGCAGTATATTTTTTTGCATGGAAATATGTATTTTTTTTATTGTAGGCCTGTAATTTTTAGGAATAACTCACTGAAATCTGTCTGAACAAGAGAGTCTAGTAAACATCCCGGGTATGTTAAAATTTGAAACACGAAATCATAAATTATATTTTAATAAATAATCATAAAAAATAATAATATAATAATACATTTATTTCAATAATATAATCAAACCAAAAACACTGAAATTTGAAATATAGCGCCAAGTTTTCACATCACTGAGCAAAGTCGCAAAAACGTTTTCAGTGTCTGATGATGAATTTCCCCACAAATCATTATCACTCAATTCTGCAAGTGGTTCTAATTTACTATCGCTGTTCTCTAGCTGGTCTAAAACCGATTTTGTTAAGGGACGCTTTTTGGACACCATGGACATTTCTTAGTTTCCAGGCAGAAGGAACAGTAAAAATGCAGGCAGGGCACAGGGCAAAGCACTCGGGACAAAATGTATGTGAAATGGTTTGATACAGTAATGTTTTACTATGTTATTTTAGTGTATTGAGTGAATGTCACAATATGTCATTTTCAAATTTCCCGCCGTTCCAACCCCGTACGTCCCGACGCTCTCAGGGGACAGAACCCAGATGACAGATGCCGGCATCCGCTGGATTACATTACAGGAGACACTGCAGGAGGAACATCGCGGGAGAGCAGGACAAGCTAAGTGATCGAGGGATCCCGGAGAAGCGCCGCATGGTAAGCCCAAGTGTAACTCGGGGTTACCGCTTGTGGTACTGAAACTTTACCCCGAGCTACACTCGGGAATACCGCCAGGGGGGTTAAAACTCCCAGTGTGCATGGAGCCGTAGGGCTCATGTACACTGCAGCTGATAAACTCTTTTTAGGAGCTGTTAAGCGTTTTTTTCAGTAGCCCCTGAACTCTCCCTAATGTTTTCCTATGTGTCCATGTACACATCTTTGTTTACAGGCATTTGAGTTTACAGTTGTTGTTTTGAAAGCACCAAACTTGTGTTCAGTCGATTTTATCAGTTTCAAACGCAAAACGCTTGTAAACGTGGCTAAATGCGTTTATAAGCATTTCCATTTGAAATTTTTTTTAACTCTTCCAGTTCCCAATGTTGTCCAGAGCCTTTTTCATCATGAAAAATGCATGCAAAACAATTTCAAGGTACTCAGATGGACAAAACACTGAACACAGGATGTTCCTACCAAGCTTGTCGTACATTGCAATGACCAATTCACACCTCAGACCTCTCCCACCCTTGGAAACAAAAGATATGTTAATGACCATTCACACCTTAAATTCCTTATGGGGACCCCCTGCCAGGTGACCTTAATGACTCCCTCCACCAGGCACCTTTCCCGCCCTTGGATACAAAAGAAATGTTAATGAGCAACTCACACCTAATTATCTCAACACATCCTGCTCTCTCTGCATCTACTGTGTGTATTTCTCTGAAACAGTCTGAAATAGTTAATAATTTACCACTTTTCAGTGCATTCTGGGCATTTGAGAGGTTCTCCTGTGCTTATCTTTAAAAAATGCTTCTAAACACAAACGCACATAAACGCGTTATGCAAACGTGGCTAAACAACGTTTTTTAACCTATGTTTTCCAGCAGTCAGTTTCCATCGTTAAGAAGTGTCCGGTGTACATGGGGCCTTATGTGCGTACTGCATAAACCATATATTAATAGAAAAGTCCAATAAAGTGCATATATTATCTTCCAGAAAATGTCCTTTTCAATATAAACTGCCTCATGCAACTGAGCAATATTATTCACAATGAATCTTTTGTGCTCCGCTCCACCAATGTGTGCCACCACCACTCCAGAAAACACACCAAATAGGCATGACCTCCTGTTTAAGAGTAGGTCAAATTGTGCCTTATCCTTCCATGGGATCAACCTCCAAGGCTACTCCACTTCTTCCTCTCAGTAAACCGAGGAACATCATAAAATTCAAAGGAGAAAAGGGCTCTAATAGCATAAAAATGTTATATTAAAATAACTAATTTAACAACAACAGTAAAACCAACAGCATATGTGCTCACAATCAAAAGTGCATTCTGCCGTGCACCCGGTTTCAATAGCTTTATAATGTTACAATCCGTCTCCACTACAAATAGTGCGAACATGGACCACTCCAGCATCTAGGTATCTCAACAATTCTGGGTGGCAGCGGAACAACATCACTTCCTGTAGCTCCTCCTCAACGTATGTTTTGCAATGCTGATGTCTTCAGGAGACGGTATGCAGCAGCTGTAAGGTTATACCTTAAACTCAATCTTTCAAAAACTGAGCTTGTAATATTTCCTCCTCCCCGATCCCCCACTCCCGACTTTACCATTAAGATCAACAGCACAACCAATGGTCCTTCCCCTCATGCCAAGGTGTTAGGCGTAATCCTAGACTCTGACCTCTCCTTTGGGCCCCACATCCACTCACTGGCTAAATCCTGCCGCCTCAACCTCCGGAACATTTCCAAAATCAGCCCCTTCCTGACCAATGACACCACAAAACAACTTATCCACGCCTTGGTTATATCCCGCCTCGATTACTGCAACTCCCCCCTCACTGGTCTATCATTGCACAGGCTATCCCCCCTTTAGTCTATTATGAATGCTGCTGCTAGACTCATTCACCTTACCAACCGATCAGTGACTGCTGCCCCTCTCTGCCAATCCCTTCACTGGCTTCCACTAACCCAGTGTTTCTCAACTCCAGTCCTCATGGACCCCCAACAGGTCATGTTTTCAGGATTTCCCTCAGATGAAACAGCTGTGGTAATTACTAAGGCAGTGAAACTGATCAAATCACCTGTGCAAAATAATGGAAATCCTGAAAACATGACCTGTTGGGGGTCCATGAGGACTGGAGTTGAGAAAACACTGCACTAACCCAACGTAAAAAATTCAAAATACTAACCACAGCTTACAAAGCCATCCACAACACTGCCCCTAGCTACATCACCAACCTCATCCACAGATACCTCCCAAATCGCCCACTCCGCTCCTCCCATGATATCCTCCTCTCTAGCTCCCTCATCACCTCCTCCCACGCTCGCCTCCAGGACTTCTCCAGAGCCTCTCCCATCCTCTGGAACTCCCTACCACAGCATATCCGGTCAGCCCCCACCCTGTCTGCCTTTAGGTCGATCTTTGAAAACTCACTTATTCAGGGAAGCCTACCCCACCTCCACCTAAGAACTGTACTTGAATCACCTCCGCCAGATCATCCCCCGCAGCTATCACCTTTTGTATTATCTCCCCCTTCCTTTAGATTGTAAGCTCCACGAGCAGGGTCCTCCTATTCCTTCTGTACTGAAATGTATTGTCATTGTACTGTCTCCCTTATATTGTAAAGCGCTGCACAAACTGTTGGCGCTATATAAACCTGTATAATAATAATATGAGGGGCTTTCAAGTCAAACCAGAATTTTTTCGGTTGCATACCTGTAGGATGACATAATCCAGTTTCGTAAAACTGAAGTCCAGCTTTGTGTTTTATTGCATTACCTTGATCAAGCTTGGACCAATGCATATGCATATACTTAGTATATGTGATACTTGTGGGACCGCTGTGGAAGAAGAGAATCACTACAGTAGTTGCAGCTACCACAATGACTGCCGCTGTCTTCCAGGTCCTGTTCCCTGCTGCATAGTAGCCACTCACAGAACACCTTGCAACTTTCCCAATGACTGTGAGGTGTCTCACATTCCACATTCAAGGTGGAAAGGTGGCTGCTTTAAAGTTTATATAAAACTAAAACATTTTTCAGAGTACTGCTTTTATTGTCTTTGCCTCATTGGGGAGATTTCCCTTCTCGTGTTGGTGTTCTTGCTGTTTCCTTGAGCCATTGAAAGAGTAATTCTAATAGTTAATGGTTTGGTTTATTTCTTTCACACTATTGTACGATATACAATGTATATAAGTGCAGAAACATTCTGAAGACCCCTCATGCTTTATATTGTGTCGTCCAACCCCTTTCTCTTTTTAAGTTTTCTTTTTCTTTGGTCTTTAATTATTGATCTTTGCTGAAATATCAGAAGTTTTAAATGTTAAGGGGGCTATTATGAGCAAAAATGTGGAAGTGTTGACTTGTAAGGGACTATATTAGCTGTGATCTGTAAATTTCTCATGTAGGAAACACTCAGGTGCCTCCAATCTACAACTCTATGCTGAAGCATATTCCCATTCTCCAACAACTTCCATAGCATGTTTGCAGTTTCTTATCCTCTACTGTTCCATGCCTTCAGTGTTAGACAGGTTTCGTTAGCACTGCATTCACTTAATTCATGTCCAGCTCTTTGGTAACATTCAGGAGCTGAATTTGAGGTGCCCTATGTCAATTATGTTGACCACCACTTGTACAGTTTCACCAGAACAGGTGTCCCCATTGGAAGATTTCACCTCTCCTCCTATTCCAGTGACAGGTATAAAATTTTGCATTGCCCATTACTTTGTCTATCTGGGATAGTGGTCACCAGGACAAATAAAGAGCATGAATCTCCCTAGTGCAGAGACAAACAGCAATAATCCCATCCCCTTCTACTCTATCCTATACTGCATGCAAACTTTTTTCAGATATTCTTTGGACTTGGATACAGTACACATTAAGCTTGCAAAGTTTAGTAGTTGTAGGTAGAAATGGTACTGGACCTGTTATAAAATCTTCCAAAGATGTACAGCAGTTTTCTATATACCCGAGTACTATCACACATAGGTATTTAACACATCATACATCAGTATATAAAACAATCATCGACTAACCCAAAGATCCTCCCAGCATCACTCAGAGGGGTACTGCCTAAGCCTTCAGTTATTCTTTCCTGTCTCCTGTGGATACCAAACATAAGGGGAGTAAGCAGGTCTATGAACATTGTTTGAAGTCCCCCAACTCCGTTCTCCTTTGAATACCAAGTATCCACCTGGGCATATAATTCTTACTGGACCATCAAACATGATTTATCTTTAGGTCCACCACTCAATTAAATTTGTATAATATTCTTTGATGTCCCACTACAGGGGTAACGTTATGCAGCTCAAATTTCTCATTGAGACCCCAAGACCAGGAATGGTGGTTTTCTGTATATTTATATAACATGTAAAGCTTCCTGTACTTCCTAAATATTTACAAGACTCCTTTTAGGAGGAGGATACTGCATATGTAGAATGACAAGTCTATAAATTGTTAACATGAATAATGCTTGGCTGTGAAGTGGTATATGATTAAACAATGATGACTGGAAACATATTTCACATCAGAGGTTCTAGAGCAAAGTCTTACTTGGGACAGCTTAAGGGAATCTTGTGCTTTACATACAGTGATGGATTGCTACACATTGATTTACGATGATGATGATTAAGAGGACTTTTCTATAAAACTTTAGTATACTATATTTCTTATGAACCCCAAATGGTATGAAGCAAAACATATTTTCACTGTTTCCATTTTTTTGGTTAAAACATATAGGGAAATTTACTAAAACTTGTGTGTACAGAATCTGATGCAGCTGTGCATGATAGCCAATCAGCTTCTAAGTTTTATTGTCAAAGCTTAATTGAACAAGCTTAAATTAAAAGCGGATTGGTTACTATACACAGCTTAACCAGATTCTGTGTGTAACAGCTTTAGTAAATCTCCCCTAATGTGTTTCTTTGTTAATAAATTGTATTAAAATCTACACAATATTGTTTCAATTACTGTTATGCATTCTTGGAAAAATAAATGCAATCGCATTACAAATATTTTTTACACTCCAGTGGAAATTGAGAATGAATGTACAACTGCGCTTTTCTTATGAAAATTCTCTGCAC